GCCTGACGGGCTTTCCTAGTGGGTGCTGCGAGCACCTGAATTCACCGAGCACATTCTCATGAAGAACAAATCGAAAAAAAGGTTGGAGAAAAACGAACCTGAGTTCGAGTGACTTCTCTCCAAATGTTCCCAGAACGGGATTTACAGAAGTCGACCTCGTTCTGCATAACCGACGCCATGTGCTGCATGTAGTTATACAGCATGGGCACGGAGATTACACAGACGAGCGCAGCCACGGTCGAAAGTGCCACTCCGAGAAAAGCGATTCTCCTCAAGGAGAGCGCTTCGGATTCCCAATGCTTCTCGTCACCAGTCATGGTTGTAAACTGCCTGCAGCTAGTCAACGTCTCCCACTTTTATACTCTTCTTCTTGGAATAATAACAACATTATTACGCCTATGACCTAGAAAACTCGAGAGATTTTCCTTGACCTGTTTATCAGAATGGAAACAAGGAAGTTCTCTGTAGATCGCCAGGAAGTATTTATCAATTTGTTGAACACTGAGAGTGTGCCAGAAAGAAGATATCAATGAAAACAGTAATATGAGCTTACTATCATTACACTTCCAGAGGTAATGGATCAAAAAATCCTACTGCCAGCTCACATGTTGAAAGATATCGGAACATCCATATTCGACTTTCAATGAACCTTGGCATGGCTTTGAATTGATTTTATTTTTAACTTTTTTGTATAAAATCAGTTACCAAGATGTTAAATAGGATCATATCAACTTACGTTTCGGCGTTATCGCCTTATCGAAGAAGAAGGCGATAACGTCGAAAAGTAAGTTGATAAGAACATATTTGACATCATGGTGACTCGTTTTACATTAAAAAAAGTTAAAAATAAGATTTCAGAACACTCCCTGCTCTTGACCGCTGTAGAGCTGAGTAGAACTCATGAAAACAATTATTCTATAAGTTCACTATAAGTTCTATTCTGCAGTTGCACAAGTACAGGATGCAAACATGTAGAAAACATTGAATTTGTCAATGGAGATGGTGGCCCCATAAATAAATAAATTGGGATTGAAAGCTCTGCCGGTCCTGAATTGAACGGTCCACGAAAGAGTATCTAACACTTCCAGGAGGCTGGGTCATTCGAGGAGTGCTTAAGAACTTCAACCATTTTTTAAATGAATACGAAGTGTATTTTTCTAGCAATTTCTGTAGAATGTACCCTGGACCACTATGATGGACGTTATTGTTGTGAGCTAGCACTACTCAGAAATGTGTTGGCTTATATGTGCTTGCACATTTAACCTATGCTTTCAGTTCGAGCGTCCCAGTCCTTTCAATGAAAAATCCCCACTGAAAAATTTGGGGTGGCTGAGTCTACCATTTGGAAAAAANAAAAAATAGCTTAGGCTGAAGGTTGACACCACGATTTGCATCAATGAAGAGGTTGTACGACTCATGCAGCATTCGGATTGTAGTGTTACTTCTACATCCATAGAAAACTCGCCTCATTTGCTTTGCATATCCCACGTAATACAACACTTCACGGGAGTTGGGGGATGAACACCTTGTTTCAGAAATGAGTGACAGCGCGGGTGCCGAAGAAGCGATTCCACCATATTTCTGAGTGCATGCGTAAATTTTTCAGCATTCTTGGATTGGGGCAGACACTCTTCGGAAGTAGCCACCACATTTGTTGTTTTTCAAAAAGATAATCTGCTTCAAAGTCTTCCACTAGTAATCATTTCTTACTAGTTGTCGATGTCACTTGGTGGATGTCGGAAATTTTGCCACAACCAAGATGGTAATCGAAATTGTCACAAATTTGTATTGCTTGATAGGCGAGAAACGTCCTGCCATTATCGCTCTTTTCTGAATCGAAACCCTATCACGACTTGAAGACTGAAAGTCTGCTATGACCATTTCCAAATTCCGAATTGACGCTGACTCATGGCATTTGTAAAAAAGAAATGTATGCTCAATCAATATGTAGTGTTTGTTGAAAGAAGTCTGCACGTTTCAGATTTATTTATTTATTTATTCGTTTGGGAATAGATTGTAAGGATGTGTCACAAGATAATTAATAGAAAAAGCAGAACTTAAACACACTACATAGAGTCATGCACAGCATCAAATCTCACTTTAGCAAGGGTGTCATTTGTGGCTCTGACATTCAGAATGAGCCAGAACATGTAGCACTCAGAAAATCCCTCGCACCTCAATAACGACACTTACCAATTAGTGGTGGAGAAGAAGACAATCACATCGTAGCGATCGGATAGTGGCGAGGCGGTGTCCGTAAGCTGAGTTGCTCAGTAAGAAGCTTCATTTCCACATAACATAACATTCATTCATTTATTATTTATTGACGGACATGTTGTAGGCATGTGAAATAAAGGATAATTACATGACCATTGAAGAAAGAATTGGGAACAAACAACAAGTTCCTATAATAAACTCAACTAAGTTAAACCAACTTATCAATAGAGTTCTTGAAAGTACAATAACTTGGGAGATAAGATTGCGAGGTAAATGTGAATTGGCTCGACCCAACTTTGTTACTGAAAAACTACACCTTAGCCGTGCTGGCGTTGCTGAAATCCTAGCAGAGGAACTCGCACACCACAAAACACACGTTTCTGTTTGTCAATATGACACACAAACTAAACTTACAAGTAGTTCGTAAGCCTTCACTTAGTGCATAGATACGAACATCGGGGAACTTAATGACTTTCGAATCAGATTCTGGCTTTTGAATTATCTCCAGTCTGGACTCACCTGAGCACACAAGTGGCAACTTTCTTGACATTGGTTACGGTACTACAAAGGAAACTCATTTGCATAAGATGAAACTAACGGCTGCACAATTACCCCTCGTGATACAAAAACCAGGTGTACAAATGTAACGGCATAATCCCTCGTGAAGTTCGGTAAGTTCTATACCAAACTAAGCTGGCTCTTGCAGAATTTGATGTTCCCAGAGTTTCTAGTCCTCACGTCGAGTGAGTGAGAAAGGTATTTTCTCATCTCGACATTGATAACTTGTTCCACAATTGTATAGGCTGAAATTAACTGCATACGACCGTCCGTCGCCTCCGCATTTTGGTCACTTCATCTCTTGTCCTCCCGACAATTGGTAGCATGGTGACCTAGCCGCCATTTTCTTCTAAANAAAAAAAATGGCATGATAAGGCAGAAATCACAGCGAGTAAAGAATACAGAAAGAAAGCAGAAATAATAATCGCCCATCGATTGAAGTGTACAAATTACGAAAGAGCTGCAAGAACGAGGTAACTCGTCCTCATTTCCAGTGCCCCACAAGTTGGCCTTATGAGATCGAAGCAACTACCCGTCTCCCCTTATATCACTTTGCTTCCTAAGTGGATCTTGCTGCTTCTATTCCTGTGAACGGAGTTGTGGCTTCCTGTGATAACACGTTAGTACCTAGTCTAACACGCCACAACATGTTCTCGCACCCCCGCTACCAAGCATTTCCTAGAGGATGCATGCTGCCAATCAATAACCATCCGATCCATAAGGTATGGGTGATAATGTGGATCGATGTCCCGGTTTGTAAACATGCATTGCGATCAATTCAGGAGGTAAAGGAAACACTACATACATAGTTCTTGCAATTTTACCCACAAAACGAAGCATTTCCCGTTCCATTAGGACCGGGTAAACTCGTGTTTAACTCGGAGAAGGAAGTTGCACTTGAGAAAAAAGGCGCTGTTAGGAATTTAAAGGGAATCACACGTCATGGAAATCTGCATAAGTGCCTATGGGAGAATTGGCATGCTCTCGTTACCATTACAAAGGGATTTTTTTTGAATGCTGAGGATATATGTAAAGCTGATTAGGAATTCAAGCCACACCTAAACAGAGAAAACCATTCAGAAATTTTCCGGATACACTTCCTCATACCGATAAAAACTTTAGTCGTAGACTACCTTAGCTATGCATAAGGCTACAAACACAGCAGAAAGAATGAATGTTTATTTCCAACAAAAACGAAAAGCAACGAAAACCATTGTTATGAAATCGATTCATTACCAAATACTTAATAGCCTGGAGCAGTGCGAGGAGGTGGGCAATGGTCGCAACCTCCTTGGCGTCCACCCTCACCGTCATCCCCTGGCCTTCCATCGCTTCCAGGCTGTCCTGGTGGACCTGGTGGTCCATTGTCTCCGGGCAGTCCTGGTCCGCCATCTCTTCCTGGGTTTCCTGGACCTCCTGGCTGTCCATCAGGACCAGGAGCTCCTCGAGGTCCTGGTGGTCCAGGTGGACCTTGTAGGCCGGGTCCCTGAGTAAGCACTCCTGGAGCTCCGGGAGCTCCAGGATTCCCTGGTTGGCCAGCATTACCTGGTGGTCCTGGAGGTCCCATGGGACCAGCTCCTCCAGGATTTCCAGCGTTACCTGGCTGCCCATCAGATCCAGGGTTTCCAGGTGCTCCCTTGTTACCTGGGTTTCCAGGTGGTCCAGGAGGACCAGGAGGACAATTAAAGCATGGCGTGTAATTGGGAGCTGGAGTGGCTGGTGGTGCATCAGGTCCGTTTCTTCCGGGTTGTCCAGGCTGGCCGTCAGCTCCGGGTTGCCCATCCTGTCCTGGCGGTCCAGGTGGTCCAGCTGGAGAAACACCGCATCCGCAGCATCCACCGCCGGCCTGACGGGCTTTCCTAGTGGGGGCTGCTAGTGCCTAAAGATATTATTCCATTGAATAAAAATAAGAAGGAAGAGAAAATTCGAAAACAAACCTGCGTGCGGGTGACCTCTCTCCACATGTTTCCAGAGCGAGATTTGCAGAAGTCGACTTCGTTCTGCATAACCGATGCCATATGTTGCATGTAATTGTACAGCATCGGCACGGAGATTATGCAGACGAGCGTAGCCACGGTTGAGAGGGCCACTCCGAAGAAGGCAATTCTCCTCAGAGAAAGAGCCTCAGATTCCCAATGCTTCTCGTCGCCGGTCATGCTTGCGATCTGCTTGGGGCCTCCGCCTTTATACGGTCTAGGTGTTATCAATGCTGTTCTGATTATATCACTAATTATCTATTTAGTGTAGTAAACACGGGTTTCCTTGACCTATTTAGAGGCTAATACAAAGGAAGTTTGACGTAGGTCATTTATCAGTGGTTAGCAGAGAAAAACATCGATCTCTGATGGTAACGGCCAAATTAGGCTAATTTGTGGCTGACATTGCTCATTAATGTAATACCTAATGGATTCAACGCCTCTTTGAGAGTGGCATTTTTGTGCCGAAATCACTATAAAACAAAATGGTAAATAATGGACTGTGTACATAGATATATGGTTGTTTTGGCCATTATGGGAGCAGGCTCCCTCTAGAGGTGGACTATGAAAGGGTCGTCATGTTTATAAGAAAAATTGGAGAAAGTTACATCAGCCAATATGGTTACTTATTGAGGACATGATCACACTCGAACAAATGTGGTCCGTTAGAGTTGAAAAAGAATGTGCTAGTACACAAAATCGAGAGCTGTTCACCGTTATTCCTTGTCCTTAGTCAGAAAATGAGTTTACTTCCGATGAATTTCCTCAGACCAACGTCCGAGACCTTGAGGAATGAGTGGAAACTATCAGCGTATTTGTCTCATACCACCAGTGTTGCTTTCCAAGAGTACTTCGTGTCAGGACCTGTACGCTGTGTGCCACGAAATCTTTTCCAAGGATTGGTGGATGACTGATGTCCTTGCTTCTCCATTGGTGTCGCTGTTACCGCTTCATTTGGATGTCTCTTTCGGTAAATTGTAAGGTAGGGTGAACCACCTTCACTCATCTTCTCGAAAGAATGGCTTGAAGGAACACTTTTCAAAGATGTTCCGCGTCCCCTTGCAGTTGCTATCGCTGGATTGATGTGTAAGAAGCTGAAGCGGATCTACGGTGAGTGGGGCTGACACAGTGAGTGCGGTTGTGTCCATGTCAAGGCTCTCTCAAGGGAGGACCATTGCTATCACTGCAAAGAACCAAAGAGGACCCAGCTTCATCAGCTTCATCCATGATGTTAACTCCGACACTACGGCCTCAATCACTGTGATATCAATCACCCCTGTGACATTCGATGAGCAATTACGAGAGATGGAATCTCGAGTTTCCACTTCACACAGTGCCTGTAGAAGTTCCATAGAATATGAGTAATAGGCGAACGTCTAGCTCAGAAGGAACCAACGATAAGTTGAGGAAATAGATTCCCCTCTCACTATCATATTGGATTCCTCTTAATTTCTGCAGCTGTTTCGAATAACTTCATGCTTCTACAAGTAGCAAAAGGTACAACGACTTCAAGAGGTCGCGAATATAATGCACATAGGAATATAGTCCATGAATGGGACTAAATAAGAGCTGTTGCAGTCATATGATATTATGTTTTTCATAACAGAAGGTAGTTACGTCTGGTAGGACAAGCTCATACAAGGAAATAGAGCTAACATTGAGAGAGCCTCTAACTTCACAGAAATCTTTTTATTGCTACTGCAGTATTTTTAAAGGATTATTTGATTTTTTTTTGAATTCCTGGTGTAAAGGAAAGTTTGTGACATTACAGTAATCAGCATTCATAGCTAAAGTATATTTAATCCCTTGAGCGGCCACGTTTCACTTGAGAACCCTTAGCTGCTCGTGTGGCCATAGGAACTTACTCCTGAAGGCCTTGAAATGTAATTATACAAAAACTTTTGAAATCATTTTCGTGAAGGTTAGCCCAGTTTTTGATAAACCTCTCCCATAAACGAGAGAAAAGATGTCTCAATCGGAATACACCCATTCCTCATCCATGTTCTGCAGCTTCAACAGAAACATTTTCGATATCGTTAATCCTAAGCGACCGCTGATTCCTGGTTCTATTAATTATGCTCGATATGCCCTATAATGGTGAAACGCTATGCTTTTAATAATCACAGTAATCGTCTTGCTGACGATAATGTTCCAGCAAAGGAATCCAAGCGCAGATGAAGGGGATCTTTACCGTTTCCAAGTTCACTTTGTATCTCATTGATCACCGTCTGCCATTCTCCAGAATCGAGATTTCGGCCATCAGCAGGACCACTTTATGATGTTATAGAGGGTCTTTTTAGTCAAGTTCTATCCGTATAGCTGTAAATGAAACAAACATTTCTAGCTGCCTTTTGGCAACGATTTTAGGCTATCACACACTCTCGAGCAGGCGCTCTTTAGGACCTTTTGTTTGAAGGTCACTTATGCGAAAGGCAAATCATATTGCTGATCCACGTACAAAGTGCAAAGTTACGAAATTTGAAATGCATCAGTTGTTTGCAAGCCGTCACTCCTCGTACAGCAGAAGTTTCTGTCCGCAGCGATTTCCCGAGTACGACACGGTTCTTTCCGAAGCGTAGATGGCTTCGGGTACGTTGTTTGGGGGAATGTCATCCCATATACGAATTTTTACTTCCTAACTTGATTAGTGGCTTGTATGATCCTGAANGTTTTTTTTGAATGACTGTATGGCCCCAACTGGGGTATCTAAAAACCTGACCGTGAGGATTTCGGAATTCACCAATTCTGCAATGATTTTCGAGAATTTCTTATTTTTGTATTTCGTGTTCAAAATTTACAGAGGGACGTCAGACGAAAAAAATCAGCCAAACATCGTCATTACCTCCTATTTGTCTCTCGAAGGAGAAGAGAGGAAGAGCCCTGAGTGAATTTGCATCAGTTGTTAAATGCCTGAACTTCTGTGGATACAAAGTTTGGGGGCCACAGAAGTAAGTTGCGCACTGCCAGCAATATTCATTGTCAGAAGAGCGATAATGGTCAGCTATAACCCATCATCCTAGGAATATCTCGTCAACTTCTCTTAAGGCAAATATTAAATCTTCGTATCACTATAGATCCTTTAGCACTCTCACTGATTGACCTCCTTCTTTAACTCTACCCTGCTCTAATCTCAACTCCAGCCTATAAGCCTGCAAAGGATTTCGTTGGATAAGTTGGTGGAGAATTTAAGAGAAACTCAATGGTGTCAGATTGAGTGATTACTCTATTATTATACTAGAATCCGTCTACCTTTCCTTCATGGAATCTCAATGACTAGAGACAGGTCCATCGGATGATACTCACTCTGGAAAACACGACTGTGATAGTAGTCCAACTCATCAACCCCTCACTTTTTCTCAGAATTAGAGTGATTCAGGGTTTCAGGAGCTGTAAGCGGTTTTTTTTGAGTGAGCTTTTTTTGAGCACCACAATGAGCTAAAAGCTAGCTGAAGTGTTTGACAAGGCAAGCAGTGCACTATTGCACGTTTATGTTGT